CACTGTTCCTTGTAGCCGAGGCAGAGGTCCTCTCTTGTCGGGCAGTGTTTGATCATTATGGGCTGAGAGGTTAAGTGTAAGATCATTGAGGGTAATACTTGATGGGCTAGTCTTGCATCTGCCCACAGTCCTTGGGTTTTTATAAGGTGGCTTGACCCAGAGACCATTTAGTGTAAGTGTTGGGCTCATTAAGAGCCCATGGTGATGGGATCAGGGGTTCACTGTCACCTACAGTGAATTCGGCCAGGCCTTGTAACAGAGGCTGGGCTGAACCTATGTGGCTGATGTGTAGATCAATGTTTGGGTCCCACGCCATACAAGGATACCCAACTGGGCAGCAGTTTGGAGGATAAGTGAGCACATGGACTTAATGGGCCTAAATCCCAATTTGAATTGGTTTAATCAGATTAATTAAAGAGGGGTGGTTCTGGGATTTAGACCAGCAGATAGGATAAGGGATTGTCCCTATCCACTCAGAGAGTCCAGATCCAGATAGAGATTTGGATCAGGAAACTCCTAATCAGATTAGGAGGGTGATCTTTATCTGCAAATAAGATAAAGGATTATCCTTATCTCTTAAAGAGAGTCTAGATCCAGATACAAGATTTGGATTAGGAAACTCCTAATGAGATTAGGAGAACCTCTCTTTAAGGCTATAAATAGGGGAGGAGGGCAAACCCCAGTTCATCCTCAGTCTTACTGATACAAGAGAGAAGACAGCTGTAGTTGGACTGACGCCATCTTCTGCTCTTGCCTCCTTCTATTGCTGTTGCCATTGCCAGTTCGATCTCCACCTATAGGAGCAATCAAGAAAGGTTCTTGATATCAGTTTTTGGTGAAAAACTGATCTGAATTCGTGCTCACTCTCCCTCCATCGAATTTTTGCTGAAGAACCACCTGCTGATTCTGCTCCACCCTACGCTGTGTCATCTTCAGTAGGAGTAGTCTTTGGCGTTGTCCTTGGGTGTGAACACCTTCGTTGGGAGTTACTACTACTCCATATCAGGTATATCCCTCTCCTATCTTTTGGTTTTAGATCTGGTCTGGTTTAGGGCTTAAGATTGATCATTGAAAATGCAGTTTTCTAAAACAGGGAATGTGATTCCCATATGGGAGAGAGAAATTTTTGAAATTTCGCCCTACCTACCTGTAGGGTTCGGCTATTCATATGATGGATCTCTCATCCCTTCACCCAGACCAAAAAATATCACTACTACCTCCAACACACACAGAAATCAACCCTCCTGGAAGAAGAAAACCCTAGTTAGAGGGAAATCTCTCTCCTCCCCATGCCTCCCAACAGAGAGAAAAGTGAATCAATCACTCCGGGAGGCCTAGAAAATTTCAGAAATGAAACCGCCCTCTTCTGTAAATCAAAAGAAAACTAACAATACCTGAATGCCCAAGATCAGATAAAAAACAAAGAGTCCAACTTTTCTGGGACTCTTCCCCGTACTCCAGTTCTTCCTGATTTTGATGCCGAACAGTAGATCACCTTTCTGATGTCTAGATCCCACCAAAAACTCCAAGAACTGGGCAATCTATAGCAGATCGATCAGCCCTTTACTATTTCATGTAGTCGGCTGATTTAGGGCTGCATGAGAATGCTTCAAGAAACCCTAGCCGGTGCTCTGATACCAAGTAGAATGCTGAATTAAAAAAATATGAAAGAAAGTAGTTTCTTGAAGAGAGAAGGAAGGGAGAAGGAGAAGAAGAGAAGTTGAAAGAAAAGAGAGCAATAATCTGGCCGGCCCCCTTCACTTATTATTTATACTAAAATAATAGAACAGTACAAAGACAACTATGCCCTTATAGGGCGGCAAAACATAAAACAGCATATATAACACTCAAAAAACATAATAAAATTTGGACTCACATAACTACTGTGGTCCCAACCTCCTATCTAACAAATAACATAAAACATCTACTCAGAAAAACATCATAAAACTAATTAATTTTCAACACCATCACTAAGAAAACTTGGCCCTCCCCTTTTACTCCCCTTTATTTTATTTTTAATCTCTTCTCCTCTTTGGTAAAAAACACTTGTTTTGTCAACATATAAACAGTTAACTATTTATTGCCATTTTTATTGAGGTTATATTATAAAAAATGAAGTTCCAAGTTGTTATTAACTTAGGTAATTATAGATTTATAATTGGGTCAGACCCAATTATCCTGATTAATAATTGGTTCAGTTCTGGGTCTATTTTATAGAATTGGTTAATAAGTGGTCTATTTTGAAAAGGGGATTTTACTCATTAATGCTCCTAGCTATCTGAGGTCACTGGATATAGACCTAAACTTTTGCATTTTCTTTTACACAATGTGGCTACTGTCAGATTTGAACCCTGCATTATGAGTTTGTATGTTTGTTGAAATATGTAACTAATAACTTTTTTTTGATGAGTAATACACAACTAATAACTTATTTGAGATACACCTGGTAGCAATGCGCATTGGAAGCATAGAGACAACATCAGGAAGGTGCTGAAAATGCTTGAAGGATTGACAACAACTATACAATGGGTTGACAGGTTTGCAAATGGCCTAGCAGATGAACTAGCTAGGTAGGGTAACCATAGATCAAATGTTTAGGGGATTATCGATAAAAGAAAAATGTATAGGGGATTGGTTTTCAAGGAGGGAAGAAACTTGTAAAGGGTAGGTAGGATGGGTCCTAGTCTATATAAGTGATAAGTGGGGTGTCTCAGGACATACATATATCCTGTGTACATTGTAACATATCTTTTATTTCTTTCTACTTTCAATAAATTGATCTTTTGTGGTTGCTGATAAAAAAGAAAACTTATTTGAGGTACATAGTAGAAGCATTAACCACATAGTGAGCCTCCAATCTAACATTGTTCTATGCTGCTTCCTTTTATGATATCCTTTTGGGCTTGTGTGAATTTCTTCAAGACTGTGCATCTGATTACTTTGATTTGGTATATGAAACCTAGGTATTTCATTGTTAAAAGTTGCAATCGCGAAAATTTGGAACTATCTGTACAGCAAGGAGTATGGGCAACTCAAAGGAGCAATGAGGCTAAACTAAATGAAGCCTTTGATTCTGTGGAGAATGTGATTTTGATCTTTTCAGTCAACCGAACTCGTCATTTCCAGGTACCTATTGAATTTAAGATCCCATATCTGTATATGTTGTAGAAAATGTTTTCAAAATTTAACATGATTTTCTGTTAACAGATATTGACATTGGCTGAAGTTTGTATGGTTTACTTATGAGTTCTCTAATATGACAACCCCTAAATTCTGTTTGAGGTGGAAAGAGTTGTAAAATTCTATATTGTTGTCTTTTAGGGTTGTGCAAAGATGACATCAAAAATTGGTGGATCTGTTGGAGGAGGAAACTGGAAATATGCACATGGAACTGCACACTATGGACGCAATTTCTCTGTCAAATGGTTGAAGGTATATCATATTTAAAGGTTTTGTCAAATGTACTTTCTATGTATCTTTTCTTTTTTTTTTTAATAAAAGGTAATTTAATTGTTATTCAATTGGAGGTGAGATAATTGGCTCATAAGACAGAGAGGCTAGCTCCTTAGCCCATAAAATGAACACCTCATTCAAATGGGGTAGGATATCAGCCAATGTACTAACAAAAATTATCTGACAAGTGAAGAGGTAAATCAGGCTTCTTTTCCTTGGAGGCTTAGCCTCCCAGGGTAGACTAATTGGTGTTTGGCATTTTCGCTCAGATTTCGTTCTTTGTTGGAGAGTACACTGTGGTACCTTATGGAAAATGTATTTTAATTGAAGTGCTTGGATCTGTTACCAATAAGAAAGAAGTAACTTAATTTTATATAATATAGATAAGTGGGTTGCTATACTTAGAATTTTTATAGCTTTCCAAAAGATGTATAAAGAGTGGTGTACATGGGAGGATCCATGGTGACACCCAAAAAATGGTCCAATTCACGATCAGAAAAAAACCTAAGTTGGGATATGTTCATGCTAATACAACAAGGCCCAAGACATTTGTTATTGAAGCCATGTCTCTTGTGATCCACTTAATTTGGACTAGGATGTTCTTGTTTTCCTTATTTCCTAGGGTAGTAAACAAGCTTCCAAGAGCATTGGGAAATTCTTTTCCTCCACCTGACATTTTAATTGTTAATCTTCCTACATGCTGCTTTACAGAATGCATACACGCACACCAAACTGTACAATGGAATATTAGAGGTTTCAACAGGGTAATACATAAGCTGTGGGGTTATAGGTTATTTTCTATAAAAAATGCTTTATCTGATAATAAGCTACAATGGTGAGATTTCCCATTATGACAGTTCAGATCTTGGGGAGTTGAGTAAGCATTTGAAGAGAAAGCCAACGATTCTGCATAGTGAGAATTAATGGCTCTACTTGTGGATATGTGGGATTAGAATTCCCAAAAGAAAGTTCTAGGTTTGTGGAAAATTAAGAGAAAAGAGTCGCACCTAAGTTAGAGAGAAATTTGGAAAGCTTTAAAAGTAAGTTCATTTTACTGAGAAAGGTCAATTTTGGTGACTCCAAAACACTAGGCCTAATCATAGTAGGCCCTGATCAGGGTATAGAGGTGGAAGGGGTTAGGCATCACCTTTGTTCGGGAAAAATTGCTGCTTCTATTTGAAGCCAAGAGATTAATAACAATAAAAAACAAGTAATTGAAAGATTAGGAACCGGTTTTCTAAAAATTATAATTGTTTCATCTAAATTTCAATTCCCTTCTATTATCAATCTATTTCTAAGTTGAGCTTGCTTTTCTCCTTTTAGGTTTCCCATCTAATTCTTGGACACCTATTTTCTTCCTTATTTCTCTTCCATTTCCTAATGCACACATCTACCACCACTAGTCTATGTTGTCTTGTTAAGTTTTCTCCCAGTATAACTTTGCAATCTTTACACATCATTCATTTTATTCTCCTCATAAGGAAAAAAAAATAACTTTTTGACTTATGTTTGACCCACTTTTAAATGTTATTAAGTTTCATCATTCTTTTGGAGAAAGGTGTTTAAAATTGCCATATTATAAGCTATTGTAAAATCTAATATTGTAGCTCTTGATTCATTTCTCTCCCAAACCCAAATCCTTCATGCACCATATAATATCCTACACTTCGTTTCCCTACATGCCAATTATGCCTCCTATAAAAATCTTCTCTTCATTTGGTATTTCTTGGATTATTCCTTCTAAGTCTTCCCAAAATTATGTTTTGAAGTTTTCTTCTTTTCCCACTTGATGTGCATAAGCACTCTAATTATGTTAATGATTTCCTCACCTGAAACAAGGAAGCTCTGAAGGCAAAGAAAGAAGCAAGGAAGCTCTGATAGAGGTAAAAGCATATAGGGCTAGAACCTTGAATCTCTTCTCTGGATTCAAGGTTGATGATTTTTTTTCAGGTCTTGGGGTGCAATTTCTGATTCTTCCTCTAGAAGACAAAAAGCATCTATTGGAGTAGTAAGGGATGAGAAAGGAAGCATACTCATTGTATTCAGGTTGAATTGGGCAAGGCGATATACTCAACTCAGAATTCTTGGTAGTAAGTTTTTGGGGTGGAGAAGGCAAAAGAATTGGGTATTGAAAGATTGATTATTGAAGGTGACTTGAAAACAGTTGCAAGCTGGTTGAAAAAAGGGAGAAGGAATAACTTGGAAATTAAGGAATGACTTCAGACGGTTCAAATGGCTTTCAAAAGAAATGATAGTTCAAGTCAATTGGGTTAGGAGATCTGCAAATAACTTGGCAGATGGTCTAGCTAAGCAAGGGGTTTAGAGACAGTCTATGTATTGGGTTCATTTGTAATATTCCTGGATAAATTGTCCCTTTGGTTTGTTGTATCTCTTCACAACTTGTTGTACTACTTTTATTTAAATCTAATGAAATCTTTTCTGTGTTGCTGATAAAAAAAGATTTCCTCACCTGAAACAATTCTAATTAAAATTATTCTAGCCCCAAATCTTTTAACATTTAAAATTTCATTTTTTAAAAATCCTTATCTACAATTATTGCTACACCATTTCTATTATTTACATCTCCTGTATACAATAATTTGTAGCTATCAATTTCCTTAGCCTTTTTATCCTTGCATTTAGTTTCTTGTAGGCATGCAATATTAACCCTTCTCCTCTTCATAGTATCCTACTAATTCCATAGTTTTTCTTGTTAATGTTCCTACATTCCAAGTGGCTAAACGAAGTCGTGTTTATTGAACTATTTTCTCTATCCACTCCCATCTAAAAGGATGTGGGAGCCCTTGCCCATTTGACACCACAACCTAGCACTTATGGGGACCATCCAAGCAAACCCTTGCCCACTTAACACAATGCTCAGGTTAGTGTAAAGCGTGTTGTTTCTGGAGAACACCCTAGTATGACCATGGAAAGAAAAATCAGGATCCATTATATCATGAGAGTTTGCCAAAATTTTTAGTGTTGACTGAAACTCGATACATCCTCCTCTGTCCGGGCTTGGGCCAGCAATGTAAGACAAGCTCACATTTGTGGAGTTTTGTGGAGCATGTATTTATAAAATGTAGATTTTCAAAATTTATTTTGGGATTTTGCATGTCAAAGGCTAAAAAAATCTGGAGCTGTCTGCTGTTTGTGATCTTTTGGGCTATTTTTGCTATTTGGAAGGATAGAAATAGAAAAATATTTGAAGAAATACAAAAGAGAAAGGAGAAATTGTGGTTGGAAATAGGAAAGGTGATTATTAGATTGAATTTTACTTCATCCCGAGTTTGTAAATGTCAATATGTTGACTTTAGATCTGCTTTCTGGTCTACATTGGACTATTGGAGATACAGTGATCATCTCATTTGTCATTTATAGTGGCTGTTGATTTTTTGGTTTGTTTTGATAAACATTGGGATGGGATGCAGGGTTGCTTCCTTCCATATACCTCGTCACTCCTTCTATCTAAGCTTTGTCTCAACTATATAGGGTCGGGTGCATGAATCCTGTTTCACCATTTCATTCTGTTCCGTGCCATATCCATCATTAAAGTATGGGTGCTTGAATCATTTCTTAGTGCTTCCACCCAAGTCCTTTTTGGTCACACAACTCCTTCCATCTTTTGTATTGCAGAAATGTGGTCAATTCTTCATGGGGTAAGGTAGGCCATTGCCATGAACCCCAGAAACTTGTCTGTTGAAGGGGATTCCAAAGTGGTAGTTGGATGAATAAGGGGAAGTCAAGTGATGTAATTGTACTATTGTTTTGCTGTTTCTGATTTTATACGCTTATGATGTTGGCGGAGGCTAAAAATCCCACTAAGTGTATCTTAACTCATTACTTATTTAAAATCTTTTAATAAAATTCTGTCGGTTACTCGTTAAATAGAAATCTTCATTTTTTTATAAAAGTTTTTCTTTACTATAAAAAGTAGTTGGCTTCTTGGGGAGTGTGCGTACAAAGACACATGTTGGGGTGGATGAGTAGCAAGAACAGAAACAATAGGATTATAAGTAAGTGCATTTGTGGGATCAATGTGCATGGACTGAGAAATTAGCAATACTTTTAGACCTAGACTGGACCATTCAACCAAAATGGGCTTTTGGTTACCTCTTTATTAGAAATGTGACAGCCAAACTTGCCCCATTTAAATTTGTTAATAGGTATTAAACCCTCTAATGTTTATTGTTTTAAGCTTACTGGTGTGAAATTACTCTCTAAGAACTTTTAAAGATAATCTAGATCTGTTTTCAATTTCAACTTTTTTTTTCTCACATTTTTATTTGTACGAGTAAATGATTGAACCAGTTGACCTGTTATCCAGTCATCAAAAGAGTTTTATGTCTAATCCAATTCTGACAACATTGGAAATTAATATTACATTGATGTGCATAGTGGTTTTTACTGAATCCATATACTCTCTACTTATGTGAGTCTCGTATTCCTTTTATGCATTTCTTTTCTTATATAGGTGGTAAATAATAGTTGCAAAAGAATTTAGAATTCATGTGCAGTTCATTTTTCTAATTGATGTAGAAAAATGGTAATAAGAATTTGTGGATAAACTTTTAAGTCTGTTGTTGACATCTATATTCTATTTGGAGTCTATGTACACATGCATGTTGAGGTGGATGAATGGAAGGAACAGAATAATACGGTTAGAAATGAGTACATTCATGGGAATCTAGCAGTGTTGATAAGTGATAATTAAGGGAAAGTTAATTTCTGAAGTGGCTGTGCTTATTGCTTAGTCTTCTAGTGAGTAAGGAGGTTGTGTGATCCTCCTTACTCACTAAATTGGTCCTAAAAGGCAAAGCAATAATTTGTTCAGTTTAGCAACTTCAGTCATTATCAAACACATCTAAATTGGTGATGGTCACATTAGGGGTGCAATGGGGGTTGGGCCAACTTTAATGCAACCCAACTCAACCTGAAAAAATTGGGTCCAGTTAGGTTGGCAAATGCCAACCCAATATAAAGTTGTGTTTGGTTAGAGTTGATGCCTTGGGCAACCTGACCCAACTCAAACTCAATGTATTATGCTTATCTTTTAAATTATGAATGATGTACTGGTACACCCGATACGCCGGAGTGTATCGGTAGCTGTTTCTTTTTTTTTTTTTTTTTTTTTTTTTTTTTTTTTTTTTTTTTTTTTTTTTTTTTTTTTTTTTTTTTTTTTTTTTTTTTTTTTTCCGAATCTGGTTCAGAGGGGTCAGTTTAAGGTCTGTCCACCCCTTGAACCGGTTGAGACCCCGAAACACCCCCTGTAGGGGCATATCGGGAAGCCCCCGAGTATGATATGTATGGGCCGATACGGCTCGATATGTATATATTTTGAACCTTGGATTTATGTATACAAGTATTGTTTATATGAGTGGGGGGAGGAGAGAGTATGATCACAAAGGATGGTTTACTATAAAATATTACCATAATATGATGTCTGTATCATTGCCATATGTAATATGTTTGCCTGTATGAATATGATAAGTGTAATTTATGCATGTTTTTGTAAATTTGGTGGGTGAGGTTCCAAACCCAACCCAACCAACCCGATTTTGTAATTGGTTGGGTTTTGGTTGAGAATCTTGGGTTGAGATTAGGTTGGATTAGGGTTTGGTTTGAGGTTTTGACAAATTGGGTTGGACTAGTGTTGACCTCAACCTTAGCCAACCTTGCCTCATTTTTTTTGATGAATAATAATAAATTTATTAATTCAGAAGCTGATTTAGAGTTGTGAATTCATACAACATGCCAGGGAGAGGCGTGAGCTGTAGCCCCTCCTTGAATCTTACAAGTAAACTAGGAAAGAAATACAGGAATCACAGCTGAGCCCAAAACAATTCCTCCCTATTTACCCCTTGCTTGGCTAACACATCTGACAAAGTATTTGCTGATCTCCCCACCCACTGTACAGTGACCAACATATTCCTTGTCAACCAACTGAATTTCTTCATTTTTTTCTTGTAGTGCCATATAGGCATCTTCAGGATTTTTCAACCAACCCACCACCACTTTGGAATCCCCTTCGATTATTAGGTGCTGTACCCCCAGTTGGTTTGCAAATTGCACCCTTGTACAGAAGCTAATATCTCTGCCTTGATAGAGTTCCCAACTCCTAAGGGACCTTAGTAGAGCAACAAAATCTCTCCCTTCTCATTTCCCAAAACACCCCCCATTCCAGATAATCCTGGATTACCCATGCTACTTCCATCAAAGTTCAACTTCGGTGAGCCTTCAGATGGAGGAGACCCGCTTGTAATTGATTTGTCCTTTAGGGGTGGACACCTCGCTACTGCTGACCAATTTCTCCAAAGGTCATTAAARGAGAATTGATGAAAGATTTCCAAAGTCTTCAGCCAAGGTATTGCCCTATTCAGCACAGTCTTTCAATTCCTGACTGCTCCTTTCCTTTTCTTGAAAAATTCTAGCGTTCCTTTCTTCCCAAAGAGTCCAAATCAGGGCAGTGCAAGCACATCTCCACATAAGTCTCCCTCTTTTTTTAGGCCAAAAGAAAGTAGAATGGTTGAAGAGCATGGGAACTTCTGTTGATAAACTCCAATTACTCCCAAACAATGAAAGTAGCCAAGCCCAAAGGTCTGCAGAAAAGGGACAAGATAATAGGTGGTAGCAATCCTCATCGTGAGCTCTACAGAGGATACACCAATTGGGAGGAATACACCAACCTTGCCTCAGTTCCACCCTAGGTCACGTGCATGACTGCATATATAGCACCTGTTGCATTGCATCACTAAATATGATATTATGCAACTTGCATATTGATGGTTCTAAAAGGACTACGAGAAGGCCAAAARGGATTTAGGTTGAGGTCCAGGTTCAAAATATCACAATGTATTGGTGCATATTGTATGACATGCCTTGGTTTGTGAACCCACCAATACATGAAATACTAGGAGTTAGGATATATGACCACTTTTGAAGGTTAATACCCTTAGTAGAGATGTCTCTTGGATTGATTCTTGAAACATTAAAAGTTTTTTAATCTAAGTGTATCACTCGTTTGAATTGTATGATATCACTCATATTTGATACTTTGAACCTTGGTTGAGGAAGAGATGTCCTAGCTCAAATCTAGAATCTGATGGAGACATGGCCTCTGATTGAGTGGAATGACAAAACAGGATTTATGGAGCAGATCTGCTATCATTGGGGTGAGGCTTTGTTGAATTTACATGTGGAGTTGTGAACATATAATTTGTAATTTGCATGTGCAGTGATGCTCTCCACCATAGTGAATTTTCTTTGTTAATTATCTTTTATCCCTCCCTTCTTATTTTGTAGTCTGTAGTTTTCTCCAAGTAAAAATTGCTCTTGGATGGTTCCAAGATATACATGTATTGAAGATATTTGTTTTTTTATTTTTTTTTTTTGTAAATGTTTATGTTTTGCCTTGTAGCTATGTGAGTTGTCCTTCCACAAAACTCGTCATTTGAGGAACCCATACAATGAGAACCTACCAGTAAAGGTATGTAACTAGACCTGGAGTTAAAGAAGTTTGACTTACATGATAACCCAAAGTGGTGTCATTTTCTTTTCTATTGCAATATATCATTTGTTAACTTGTTGATGTCAACTCAACTCATCATCTTAAATATTGTTTTCATCATCCTTAAATCTTTAAATTGTTACTTGGATCAAGGTTTTAAATGTCAATGTTGATGGAAACATCATTTACCAAAACATAGGACATATGTCGGAAATGTTGGAAATGTTTAGGGGAAATATTGTAAAAATTATGAAATATGTGGAAATATGCAATGATGTTATGTAAAATGATAAAGAAGCATTCATACAAATTACTAGACTATTATCTTATTCACAACCATCACATAAAGAAGATCAATAACAAATTAGTAAAAATGAAGTTTTCCTACAGATTTCAAAAGTAAACAATTAACACTTAAACTGCTTAATTTATTATATAAATAAAAACTAAGGTTTAACATCACATCCAAAAAGAACTTGTAGGTAGCTCAAGGTGGTCATCATCTCCATTAGGCGGGCAATTATATTGTTGTTATGCTTGTTTGCAATATTGTTGCCAACTCATCACACTATGATGCCACCTCCTGTACTCTACAAAGCGATGGTTGTTTTCATGGTTAATTCTTTGAGGAACTCTTATTTGAGGTATTTTCCATATCCATATCCATAACCATAAGAGGTCATGTTAGGAGCATGTCCATAGAGCCAATAATCTTAATTTTGGGTTCCAATCCCAAATGCCTTTGATTGACATTGGCCATCTTGGCTTGAAGCGAGATACTCATAGCTATACAATGATGTAGAACCAGCATTGCCCTACTCATAAGATTTAGAAGAATTGCCTATTTCCATTGAGCGTGAAGTTTTCTGACAATGTTTGCTCATAATTGGCTTCCATTATCTTTCATTGTTGTTGAGATTGCCTTTTAGTTCATTTGTAGAAGTGGTAACACGAGAAGCCTGACCATGATCTAACTTTGATCCTCTAATGTTTGGGATCAAATGCCTTTGACTTTGACTCTTATCACGTTCTTGGATATTACCCCCATCACCCCCATTACCTCTATCATCACCACCACCACCACCACTCCCCATCACTTTTTACTTGTGTTGCTTGGAGTTACAAATTCATCAGACCAATCTTCATCTTTTTTTTTTTTGATAAGATCAGAGTCATCAGACCAATCTTCATCTTCATATTCATCTTTATATTTCTAATTTGTTGTTGACTTTGATTTTGAGAAGCCATAAAATCATTTACATTAATGTCCATCTCATTGGCTATCCGGGCATTTAACTCTTCCCTTGGTCCATCTAACAAAGGCTCGGGAGATTTTATTTGTTCATAAAGTGGGTTCTCTTCATCCTCTTCAGCATATACATCTAAAAGGTCCAGCATTAACATAGTTCTTTTTTTCTTCATTACATTTAAGATGTTTTGTCTTGAGACTCATGTTGTAGTAGACAAAAACCAATTTTTTGAGCTTCTCATGATCCAAGTGGTTTCGATGCTTTGTGTGGATAAGGGAGAACATGCTCTAATTTCACTCATATCTTGATGATGTAGCTGTTTGAGACAACACACATGTAACTATATGTCTCAAAGTAGGGTATCAAGTCCATACATTATCCACCATTCACTCATATCTAATGGACTCCTTCATAAGCCTTATGGCCTCATACATTGACCATATGGTTGGCCATGTATCACCATCAACTATTTTGAAAACCTATGCATAAACTCCAAGATATTAATCATAGTATGCATCAAATCTCAAAATGATCATGCCACACTGGTCGAAGAATGTCCCCTCTATACTATTCTCTCATCATAGTAAGAAGCACACCATGGTTGTAGATACAATTTGATATTTTTCTTGCACTATCAATTATGGTCTTCATTATTTTTCTCTTTCCAATACATTCTAGCATTAAGTCAATGCAATGTGTAATAAATGGAGTCCAAAATATGTTATGTTTATCCATCATTTTTTTTTTCTGTTTTCAAATAATTGCTTCCATTGCCTGTCATAATCTACACCACATTTTCAGGTCCTACCTCTTTAACTATACGTACCATTAACTTGTAAATATATGGTGCATCTTTTTTATATTACGATGCATCAATGGATGTGTAAACATCATCTTCCCATTGCAATACACTATAAAATCGATGATAGATAGCCTTGTAGGACTTGTCCTACTATTATACAATTGTTACCCCATATTTGGGCCAATGTAGCTTAAGAGATTTTATATACACTTTTATTTAATTCTCATCTTCATTCAAATAAGGGCCCATTATCTCACAAGGGGTAGGTGGCTTTACAAATGGGCCACATCTTATCAATTCATCACACATTGTCCTATACATGAATATAATTGAAATGAAAGAACCTTTTTTTTTATAATTGAGAAATGATTTATTAATGATATATCATAAAAGTTACAAATACCCCAAGGAAGAGCACGAGGTTCCAACCTCCCTTGAGAGTAAAGTGTAAAAAGTCAAACAACACACTAGAAACAATACATTACAATATTGCCCAATACAAATGTTCCCTTAATACCATTGTTTAGCAAGATAATCAGCCAAAGCATTTGTTGATCTGCTCATCCAATGTGAGCTAATAGACATGTTATTTGTTAAACAACTTGCCTTCTTTAGGAAACTGTTGTAGCACCATGTGATTGACCCTGGGTTTGATAACTAGCCCATGACAATCTTAGAATCTCCTTCGACTAGAAGATGCTCAACTCCTATTTGATTTGCTATTTGAATACCTTGTAGAGCTGCCAATAGTTCAGTCTAGAGTGAGTCTCTTACTCCCATCGAACTAGAGTATAAGGTTAAGATGTTTTTGTCCTTATCTCTCAAGACTCCTCCTTAGGGTGGATTCGAGCTGAGTCGAGCCGAATACTTGGCTATTCGAGCTCGGCTTGCTGAAAATGTGTTAGGCTCGTGCTCGAGCTTGTTTCGGTTCAAAGATTGCAAGTTCGAGCTCAGCTTGGCTCGAGCTCAATTGCAAGCCAAGTTCTTTTCTAAAAACTAAAAATTATACATATAAAAATATATTTTTTATTTTACATACAAAAATTAAGAATTATAAAAATGATTTATTATTATACATATAAAAAATAAAAAACATATAAAAATGTTTTTATTTTACATACAAAAAACAAAGAATTATAAAAATTATTTACTATTATACATAAAAAAAGATTATTATATATATAAAAAATTATTTATTATATATACATATATTTATATATATGTACATGTATATGTATACGAGTCAGCTTCATTGGGTTCGAGCTTGGCTCGATTAGTAAATGAGCCTATATATCAGGCTCAAAGCTCATTTAAACTGAGCCAAGCTCGAATAGTTCGTGAGAAGCTCAGCTCGTGGCCACCCCTACTCCTATGCCTGAGGGTCTAGGGTTTCCTTCACTGCTTCCATCAAAATTCAATTTTACCCAACCATCAGGTAGTGGGGTCCAAAACACATTGACCTTTTTCCTTCGTAGAGGAACTATTTGCCGCAAATAACCAATTCTTCAAAAGGTCGGCAAAGGAGAACAATTGGAAAGAATTCAAAGTTTTCAACCAGTGAATTGCCCTTGTTAAGATACACTCGCTTCAATTCATTTCATTCCAAGAAAAGGATTGAAATAAAAGAACCTTGCCATTGCTTTCCCTACCTTTTTTCTCAAATCTTTACCACTAAATATTGATTTCTAGTTCTTTTTGACCTACACCCTTGCATTGATATAGGTGTGGGTCTATAGGCACCTCTGGATCTTGTACATTATATGAACAATGCATACTACTTTGCCTTGTTTACTACTACCACTAGCTAGCACCAGTTCCTTGATTTCTACTACTTGGTCTACTTGAATTAATTCTTCAGAATTGATCACTATTCCATCTATTTGAGAGACTCTATCGTATTACTATTCTATCTCTTTCTGTCACAATCATTTTGGTATGTTTTGTCATCTTCGTTGTCAATCCTATCATATTGCTTATATTTATATGATGGTTGGGAAAGTGCATCTTGAAACTCTTCTACACGTTTTGCTTTGTCTTGCTTATATGCTTTTTGTTCTTGTAGTGCTTTATGCATAGTCAAACTCACATTTCTTAGGCATTTTTGACATTGGGCTACGTTTTTAAAACCACTTGCCAAATGATGTTTCAGTCTACAAACACCATCAATTCCATTTATTTTACTAATCAATTTATTCGTGTCACCTTCATATTTTCCATGTTCCCACCCAATATCATCTCGTCTTGGCATTTTAAATGTTTGAGTCTGCATAAAGAAAATAAAATGTTATAATACAAGCTTTATTATTAGTTATTACAGAAAACAAACAGTGTATTAATTTTACTATTTAAATATTTTTTTGTAAATTTATTATGTTTATACACTTTTTCATTAAAATATCATTATTTTTTTGATAAGCATTACCATTTTATTATGAATTTTGACATATCTATAAGGTTACACTAAGGATTTTATATGCTTATTATGAGTTTTAATAAGTTTATTATAAATTTTAACTGTTTATTTGTTTAAATAATATACCGATTCATTTTACTAAATTTTAAACTATATACTGATTTATTATGAATTTTGACATGTTACAAAGTTATCCTATTTTTGTTTATGTTTAATTCTGATTTATTATAAATTTTAATCAATAATAAGAATTAAATCATTATTAACCATTTAATATTTCTACTTTTCTTTGTGGCTATGTAAGTAATTTATCATTATTAACCAATTAATATTTTTGTTTTTTTAAATTCTGACTTATTATAAATTTTAATCAATAATAGGAATTAAATCATAGATTAACCATTTAATATTTTTATTATTAAATGGTTAATCTATGATTTATTCTTTTTTTATTATTTTTCTATATGTATGCATATTTTATGTTCTAATAAGTAACTAATTTATTCTTTTGTTA